TTCAGAGAGAGCAGCTGCAGGGCAGCTGAGGCTAGGCGTGGGCGGAGAGAAGGGCTGAGCTGCGGCTTGGGCATGAGCAGTAGTTCTGCTTTCAGGGCTAGGCGCCCAGGCGCTTTGCGCACAATCTCACAGGTCTCCCGGAACTTTCGGTGACGGACCAGAGTCTCGTGTGATCTCTGCGACCATGTCCGGCCGCGGCCCGAAGTTCGGGCCTGGGAATGACTTACAGCTGTTTACGGTGTTGCTGGATAGTACCGGGTCAGCGCAGACGTGCGCGCTGCAGCTAGTTCCGCACCGGGCACCCGTCTGGTCCGGACCACGTCAGTGGTTCGAGTACGCCGTTTTAATAGAGGGCGTCGAGGTCAGCCTGCCCGAGCCAGCCATAGGCTCCCAGACCGAAGCAGAGGCATGGGTGGCGGCGCTGTCCGAGGATCCCGGTAGGCGGGCGCTCTGCACGGTCGCGAGGAGCGGCGGAGACGTGCCCCAGCCTGGACCCAGTGCGTCCACAGCGGCCCCTGAGGCTCCAACTCATCAGGTAAAAGTCTCTCTGGCCGCAGCAGGCCCAGCCTTGGTACCCATCCACTGCACGTCATTCTTTGAGTGCGAGATGTCCCCAGGACACTCAGCCCTCTGTACCTGCTGTACGTGTCCACTATCCTGTGAATGCTTCCTGGCCCTCAGAGGGCACAGATCTGCTGTGCCTGCGGCACATTCCAGTATCCTGTATCTGCTCCAGTGTCCAGCTCTGTGCCGGCTCAGGGCCGGCTCACCTGCCTGATCACTGCATGGACTGAACAGCGCAGTCACATGCAGTGGGCCCAGCGCCCCTGTTTACGTCTGATATCGTATGTATCTGGTTCTGTTGCATCTGCTTCTCTGGCCCACAGGAGTCTCCAGCAGCTGCAGTGGCAGCAGCACCACCCTGGCCGCCTGCTGCTCCTGTCCACCAGGTGTGCTGCTTAGCCCACAAAACAGACTCTGCGACTCTGCACCTGCTGCCACTTTCTGTGCTGTGTTTCTTTCTTTCCTGCAACTAATTCTCCCATCCTGTGGATGCTATTTGCCTCAGTGGACCAGAGCTG